GCTAGGAAATTGGACAGACAGCATTCAGTTATAATTAAACAAGGAATTGGTAGTTTAACTTGGAGGTGATGGACCCACGAGAGGATTTTTAAGGGAGGGACTAAAAATGATCAGATTTACCTTTTAGGACAGTAACTCTGAGATAAGAAATTATTTAAAATAATTTATGTGACTTTTTCAAGATGTTTATAGGTAGACAGTTGCAAATCTTTCTTAAAGTTTTTGTTTTGTTTGTTTGCATAGTTAAAAAAAATCCGTATATGATACAGGGTATGGTATCTATAAGCTTATGTAAATATACCATTTAGCTACAATTTGCCCAGTTAGGATAGTAAATGATTCAGAGTACTTTCTTGATTAGGATTATATTAAATAATTATGTTAAACTTAATAAATGAATTATTTTTTTTTTTTAGATTTTATTTATTTATTTGAAGAGAGAGACAAAGCCAGAGAGGGAATACAAGCGGGGGGAGTGGGAGAAAGAGAAGCAGGCTTCCCGCCGAGCAGGGAGCCCGATGTGGGCTCGATCCTAGGACGTTGAGATCATGACCGAAGCCGAAGGCAGACGTTTAACCACTGAGCCACCCAGGTGCCCCAATAAATGAATTATTTTATTGGTGTTTTAGTTCAGTGCTATTTTCACACACTCTGTCACATGCAGTATATTTATGAATAACATTCCTTAGTATTTTACAGTGTTTCTCAATTAATTTCCTAGTAATTAATTTCACCTAGAGACAATGGAATTGGTGGCCAGGAAGTTAAAATGAAATTACATGTGTAGATACTTCCATTTCATATAGTTAAATGAGCTTTGGTGCTACCTCTACTTCAAGCACTATTTGGACATTAATTTCGATGTATTAAAAGAATAAAATCTTTTCTTAGGCCAGCATTCAAATCTTACTCTAAGATTAATGTATTTAACATACAAGCATTTAATATGTTCTGGGGTACAGAACATTACAAATATTAATCTGATCATAATCTTGTACTCACAGAGCTTACAGTTTAGCCGGGGAAATAAGATGTATACTCTTTATGTATTTATCATAAAGAGAAGTAAATGGTGTTTTAAGAGTGCATATAAAATCTAAAAAGAATTCAGAAGGGAAAGATTATTTTTGCATGAGAGGGATAAGAAACTTTGAAGGACCTAGGACTTAAAACATGGGTAAGATTTGGAGGCTTGTTTACTGAGTGTGGGTATTATCCTCATATTACAGAAGATGAGACAGGTTAAATATATTCATTGTCATACAGCTAGAAAGTGGCAGATCCAGAATTTTAATTCAAGCAACTAACTGTAAAGCTGACCCTGTTTTATTTTGTTAGGAAATATGACCTTACTTGGCATCTTTTTAAAACATTTGGGTAGAATTTTTTGATGTCAGTTTTTTTTTTATGTACAAAGTTTTCATGTTTAATGGACCACCTTTGTTTTATTTATACTACACCAGAGATGAGTATTGCCGATGGGTATGAAACTTTAAGTACACTACTTATGTAGACTTATTTTAATAGAACATTGGAAGCTTGAAGTAGAAAGCGTACCATGCTGTGCTGGGCTTTAAGAAAAGTGGATATATAAAAATTCAAACTCAAATGAGATGTTTATTTGTACACAAAAGTGTTCTTATGTTTTATTATATGAAAAATGCAGTCATTTCACATAAGAACTTTATTTTGCCCATTTCTCAGTAACATAATTTGTCATGTAAAAAAAGAAATGATTGGAGTGATTGCAGGTATTCCAGAAGTGCATTAACATTTTATAATTAAATTCATCCCCTCTTCCCTTTTCTTTGTAGTTATATACATTTTTTTCAGTGATTGTTACCTAATTCCTTTTCCCCCTGTGTTTCTCCAAGTGTTTAGATTGATAACCTTCTGTAATTCACAGTCACATACAGTATTTTGTAATGCATTAAGATACTATAAATAACTGAAAATTAAAATCTTTGAGCAAAAAAATACAGAGATTCTAATTAAATATGTAAGATGTACATGTGTATAACTGGGAGGGTCTTTGTTAACATGGATTAAGAAAATCATGAGCAATCTTTTCTATTCCCTTTAATTTTTTTTAGCATTTAATTTTCTAAAATCTTTTTTTTTAAGTTTTTATTTATTTAAGTAATCTCTACAACTAACGTGGGGCTCAAACTCATGACCCTGAGATCAAGAGCTGCATTCCTCCAACTAAGACAGCCAGGTGCCCCTTTAGCATTTAATTTTTTGAATAGGCAATACATTCAGATATGAAATAATATATAGTAATGTTTCTTTCCCATCCATTTCCTACAGCTATTCATTTCTCTTCACCAATAACAACAACCTTGTTCACTTTCTCTCCCAGAGATATTTTATGCACATGTACAAGAAAATGCAAATATATTTTTATTCTTAACACCATCGGTAGTGTATTACATACACTCTTGTGTTCCCTGCTTTTTACACTTAATATGTATTTTGAGGTATTTCCATATCCTGGTATAAAGAGCTTCCTTATTTGTTTTCAATTATATCATATTTAATTGTATGAATGAAACAAATTTAGCCAGTCCTCTATTAATAGACTTTTATTTGCAGTCCTTTGCTGTTTTAAACAATGCTGCAATAAATAACTTTGTGCATAATATGTCATTTCACGTGTGCCGTTTAGAGGACAAATTTTTAGAAGTACACTTGCTGGGTTAAGGGGTTATGTGTATTTGTAATTGCCAAATTACCCTCCTTAGGGCTTGTGTCAGTGTTCTCTTCTACCAGCATTGTATTGAAGTTTTGGTTTTCTCACATCCTCACCAACATCCCATTTACTTTTAAATACAATTTTTTCTCCTAACCTACTTTTGAGAACCTTATTACCATAGAAAATAGCATCATAAATGTGGGTAATTTAATTTTGGCATTGTGACAAGGCAGAACAAGATTCTAATAATTCTTTTCATCTTACTGAAAAAAGTGTGTATTCCTGTTTTAGGTCTCTAATACTGTCATAAAGTTTAGTAGTTTTTCAAAGAAAACAAAAGATTCACTATTCTATGTTAAATTGTCTACTTATGAGATTATTTCAAATGCTGTGTATTGAAGTATATCATAACAAGAATATGTTAAGAATCTTAAGCTCTGTGATTTAAAAAAAAAATGTTTTGTTGCTTAAATCTCAGCATCACAAGTAGCAAAAGTAAAATGGTGAAAAAGTTAAATGTTACCAGACTTTTTGTTCATTTCATTTGTATTCAATAATTTGTTGAATAGTAAAACCAGAATGCCTTCAATATGTCTTTAAGCTTGGAAGAAAGTAGGCTTCTTTGAAATTAAATTTCAGCAATGTAGTTGAGTAGTGAATTTAAACAATTCACAATGCTGACTTTCAGTGCTTCTGAAAGCAGGAAGTGTATTACTGACACGCAGAAATATTCCAGCCCAAAGAACATCCCTACTGCCATATGTGGTAAGAATTTGTCACTAACTCACAAACCACTTCTGTAATGCAGTGAATAAGCAGAATTGGTCTTTGTTGGACATTTCCAATTCAATATGAAAGAACTTTGTTTTGCAGTGTCTTATAAGTAATTATTAGCTTATGCCTTGGAAGGAGCCTGGCACATCATGGGTGCCCAAGGTTTATTGAGAGAAGGAATAAAGAAACTTGTACATAATCTTTTAGGCATGATTTACTTGGTTTTAGGGGCCCATAGTTAAACACAAAATGTTGAATAAGTTAAGGACTGAGTTAAATATTCTGACTCAACTTATTAATGATTTCTCTAAATAAAATTGCTTACTTTTATTTTAGTGTCCCCTTTCAATGCTCTTTGGAAAATTAATCTTATGTTTGCACTTATGGTTAAAAAAAATTATCCTTGGGGTTAGTTCTTAAGGGATAGGGAGATACTGTGAGCTTAGAAAACCAGGAAAATGAGCTGTAAGGAATTGGGGTTAGCAAAATTCAATACAGAGCTACTTATAAATCATTAAAATTTTGAAAATATTGTTTTTATAAACTTGAATTTTTTTGTTTATATTTTAAGCGATTAAGAAGATTGTCTACCAAATATAGAACAGAAAAGATTTATCCCACAGCCACTGGAGAAAAAGAAGAAAATGTTAAAAAGAACAGATATAAGGACATACTGCCATGTAAGTTTGAAATGCCCTCATACAACGATTAGAAATTGTTAATTAGCGGCTTGTAGCCTAAACTAGTTTTATTCTTCCTAATGCATTTGATTGTAAAGGAGTTAGTAATTAACTTCCCTTTACAGTACTCTATAAGATAATTTGTAATTGTGCTTCTTGTTTTTCCTTCTGAAAGTACTTTTTGTTTTTTACTTTTTTCTTTAAGCATCACAATTACTCTGATACTTACTTTTAAATCCAAAAAAATCCAAGTAAGAATGTCTGTTGTGCACTCCCTGTTCAAGGAAGGTATTTTGTTAAAATAAAATAAAATAGATAATTCAGTAAATATAATGGAATAAATTTTATAAAATGCTAAAAATACTAGCTGTTATCTATTCACAATTATTAGAACCTTAATTGATTAATTATGCATGAAAACATGAACCATAAGGTGATTCATGCCTGCATATCTGCTTTCTCAGTAGGCTCAGTATGTGTCTCTGAAGAGTATACCTTAGACTGACAGCATTATATTATAATAATATATTCTTAAAAAGCATGGTTTTTGGCAAAATACCTTT